CATTTAATCCTCTTTGAGACCATCATCTATATCTAATTTATTTTTTAAATCCCTAACAGTGTCTTGAATATAGTACGTTTTCAATCAATGTTATTGAATGCATGAATAAATCAAGAAGCACACTGTTTAGTAGATTCAACAATATAAACATTACATATATGTATGCATATGTGTGTGTTTATACACATATTAAGTAATGGCTATAGAATTTTTAGTTTTTATTTTATTTATCTCATGGATCTATATAAGTCACATAAACAAGATCATAAAGCATAATTTACATATACATATATATAATTATTTTTTTCAAAACTGACTTCCAGATGGTTAGGTGCTAAGATCCTTAGATTTATTTGAAGTGGCTGTTCTAAATAAACTAAGTTGTTCTATGATGTTGACTATTGCCTTTATACAAACTTTATCTAATATCATATGCTCTCAAACTCTCAAATTCAACCAAATTTCCTCATAGATACCTGAGCTATTTTGGAGAGTATATGCAAAATTCTACATATGAGAACGGCCCTTCTAAAAAACTAAGGCCAAAGAAGCCAAGATTCTTATTGAAGTTGGTTTCCAGGCTCTCTACCTCCCAAGGGAGGCATTACCAGAGAAGCTTCTATATTTACCTATTTTATATATTTATTTTATTTTATTTTTGATAGTAACATTTCAAAATCACTGAAATGTTCTTCATTGCTTTTGGAAGGTCACCACTCAAACCAAATGGTCACCATTCTATCTTCTGAATAAGTCATTCCTTAGAAGAATTTTAAATGCCTTTGAGGTAGATTATGTATTTCAGGTTCATGATTCATCTGCTTTGGGGAAAAGTATTATTTCCTGGCACATGTTCAAATGCTGTAATTTAAGACATTTATAGTAAATTATTATACCACTGCAGCAAATGCAACTGATATGACCCCAGGAGCTAGCCTGGGGAATAGTTGACTCATCTAGTTGGATCTGGCTCATTGTTCTCTAACATGCTAGGGAAAAAGAAAAAAAAATAACTCTTTAAATTTTTTTCTCAAATACCTGTGAAGCATATGATTACTGAGCAGAAAATTTAAGTTAAAGAAATAATATAAATGATTAAGCAGAGGGGATTGCTAAACTTCTTAAGAGGTGTGTATTTAAGTATTTGGCCTAGGAAGTGTCAGATGAAATGTTATTACAAAACAACTGAAGAGCTGTCTGCCCTAAAGAGAGCCCTTTTCTGCTTCTAGGATCTAGACCCAATTTTTTCTTTCCTCTCCCCACCCTCTTAACCATTTCCTTTCATAAAGTTCTTTTTCTTTTCTTTTTTTTTTTTTTTTTTTTTTTTTTTTTTTTTTTTTTTTGAGTATTGTTTTGTCACCCAGGCTAGAGTGCAGGGGCGCAATCTTGGCTCACTGCAACCCCCACCTCTGTGATTCACGCGATGCTTCTGCCTCAGCCTTCTGAGCAGCTGGGACTACAGGCACCTGCCACCATGCCCAGCTAATTTTTGTATTTTTAGTAGAGACAAGGTTTCACCATATTGGCCAGGCTGGTCTTGAACTCATGACTTCCTGATCCACCCAACTCAGCCTCCCAAAGTGCTGGGATTACAGGTGTAAGCCATAGTGCCTGGCCAAATTTTTTTTTCCCATTTATTTATTTTATTGCATTTTAGGTTTTGGGGTACATGTGAAGAACTTGCAAAATTGTTGCATAGGAACACACGTGGCAGTGTGATTTGCTGCCTTCCTCCCCATCACCTACATCTGGCATTTCTCCCCTTGCTATCTCTCCCCAGCTTCCCCCCCCCCCCCGTCCCTCCCCTCTTTCCCCCCCACTGACCCCAGTGTGTAGTGCTCCCCTCCCTGTGTCCATGTGTTCTCATTGTTCAACATCCGCCTATGAGTGAGAACATGCGGTGTTTGATCTTCTGCTCTTCTGCCAGTTTGCTGAGAATGATGGTTTCCAGGTTCATCCATGTCCCTACAAAGGACCCAAACTAATCGTTTTTTATGGCCAAAATTTTTTTAAAGTATTGGTATAAATCTGTTACTGAAAAATGTAACATCTACAGCACACTTCCAGAATCTGTCTCTCTCAATTTTATTGCCCTCATTGTTTTTTTTCATGATCACCTGGTCTTGTTTGCACTGTTGTTAGATTAATTACTACCATGAGGCTTTTGCGTGAGGAATAGACAGTGTTGACATCATCTTGAAGTTAGTCAATTATTAGCCTAAAGATGAAATCTGTGGTGTGTAGGGACCAAAGTGGCTCAAGTGATATGGTCTGAGCTTGTGAAAGAACTGTGGAGATTCTCAGCTGATACAAATAGGATATGACAAGACAGGCTATATAAGATTCTTAGATATGTAATTCCATTTCTGGGGTATCCAAATTTAAATTTTCCCGCAGTCATCCTGGGGTCTCCTTAATTAGGGTTGACCCAGAGCTGCATTAGACTACACATGATTCATGCTTCAGACCCAAGCCAAGATCTGAGATTTTTTAAAAAGGAGGTAATTGAATTATACCTTTTAGGGCTGAACATTAGCAGAGAAAAAGCATAGAAATCTGTATTCTCTACAGGAGAATACCGTCTCCACATGACACACACACACCCCTTTAAGAACCGTCACCGTGGTGATTTATTGATATTATTGATAGCGTGTTATATCTTTAAGTACTTAGGATTAGAAAAAAATTAAGAATTACTGATCAAAATCTCTTACTTAATTTTAGGTGTGTGCTAGTAGTTGTGTAGGTACCAGTTACATCCATATTTATAGTATAATAAAAGTTGATGGCAGCAGGAAAAACAAAAAAATCTACAGACTCCAGAATATTTGTATTTCATATAGACTAGTTTTAATATTAATAACTTAATTAAATTAGATTTTTACTTATATTTTTATATTGCTTAGATTTTTAAATTAATTTCATTCTATTAAGGAGACATCTCTGTTTTCACATCTCCATTTTACTCTTTGAACAAAATTGAAATATAATCCAGAAACTTGTCTAAGAATATTTTAAAAATACAAATGTAGAGGCCTTATTTTTCAATTTTTAACTTATTAAAGATACAGATTATAGATATATAATTAGTACATTGATACAAATTCAGTCTTTAATTTTCAAAGAAAGTTGGCAACATAGGAATTATATAATAATTGGGAACAGAATTCAATATTTTGATATACGTTACATTTTTTAAAATTTTCTTGCATTTAATATCTTTCCTGACCTTTTTTTTTGAGTCAAGGTCTCACTCTGTCATGCAGGCTAAGGTGTAATGTTGTGATCATAGCTCATTGGAGCCTCAAACACCTGGGATCCAGTGATCCTCTTATCTCAGCCTCCTGAGTAGCTGGGACTACAGGTGTGTGCCATCATGCCCAGCTAAATTTTTTAAAAAAAACTTTTTGTAGAGCTGGGGTTCTCACTATGTTGCTCAGGCTGGAAAAATCTTTTTGAATATTTTCTGGATGTAAGCTAAAAGTCTATCGGTTGTCGTTAAATGATTTGTACCTTGTTTTATTAACAAAGTTAGCCAAATTCTACCTTGTAAGTAATAAACCATGATAATTATGTCTAAACATTTATTCTTCCACTTTCTCTGGTAGCCTAAACTCCTTTTTCGGAGCTGCCCATCTACCCCTCCAGTCCCATCGCAGTTAGCTCTGATTGTACCACTCGACTCCAGCCGGGGTGGCAGAATGAAGCCCTGTCTCTTAAAAACAAAAATTAGTGAGAACTTCATTTCTAACCCTTGCTGCCTCTTTTGAAACTAAACTTGGTTGGACTCTAATTCATCACCTGAGAATATATTTCTACTAGTGGAGAAAGTCTCGAAATGTATCTTCTATTTTGCTTAGTGATCTTTTTATCTGAACAACAGCATATAAGAAAAGTAGTGTGCTGTGTGAGTGTGTCTATCTGTGGGTTTCTCCACACATCTTATATGTAAATTGCAAATAAAGGAACTAAAATTTTAAAGATGAGTCAGAGATGAGATAATGGTAAGTGGGCATGATGCTAGGAAGAAAAAAATTAGCATCCCAAAGTGAAGATAATGCCACCATTTCAGTAAAAATAAAATACTTTTAAAAAGTAGTATATCTGGTTTATTTCCTTATTCTACTTTTTACTTCTCTCTAAATAATTTCAGAGAACATATTACAAAATACCTGTGATGTAGAATTAGCAAATCAGGATTAGAGAGAGTATATAAAAAGTATTTACAAAGGAGAAAGCTGGGACACTTCATGGAGATTTTAACATGGTTATCATGTTATTCAATATAATCCAGTTCTGAGTTTCTGAGCAAAGGTATAGAGAATATAGGGTGTGTTACAGGTCTCCAGTCTTCACTGGGGATGAAGCATAACCATTTCCCAAGGGAATCGTTTTCCCACACCTATCTCTGAGATATATTACTCATATGCTCTTTAAAAAAATATATTCCATAATGTAATGGATGAATTTCTCAAAAATAGTTTTGATTAAATATAGAAGAAAATCCCTAAAGGCTTTTTCCTGTATGGACCTGTAGTGCAGATTGAGGGCAGAGTCCAGTGCATATACAGAGTGTTATGCAGCAAAACATACAAATTGTTGAATGTAACCCTGTAAAATTAATTACAGTATTAGACCTGAAACATTCAAGGGAAATGCTCCCCTTGGCTTTGAAACTTAGAAAAAAAAATTAAGAAAAGTGAATGAAGTCTTCTTGCCTTGATTCTAAAGACCGAGAATATTTTTTTCTCTGAAATACAAATCAGCTTCCATTATCTTTCTTTATCCATTCTCTCCGTTCTGCTTACTTCTCAGAAGGAAAACAAGGGAAACTTAAGTAAGTGCTGACAAGATTCACTTTAGAGTGATTATATAAATGTATTCTGCATCTACTTAAAATTCATATTTCAGACTCTAGTTATGTACACTTAAGGTATGGATAAATTCCACCAGGCAAAAAAACAGAAAATTGAAAGGGAAAAAAAGACAAGAGAACCAAGTCAGTAAAAAACATTTTAATTACAATCCAAGCCAAAGGAAAATTAAAGCTAAGTGAAAGCCTGGAAAAGAAGAAATTTTTACGGAAGCATATGATTTTAGATCAGGTATAAAATAAGACAGTTACATCCATAATATATTGAAAAGGGTGGAACATGAAGGTGTATTATTATGAGGACTAGTTATAAATAAATCAGTTGTTCATTATTTCCATTCAGAGAACAAACTGATGACAACATCTATTCAACGTGTGAATGATTCGTTTAATAGCATTTATGCCTCATTTCTGAAACTTTTTTTGGGAGGCTAAAAATACTGAAATGATTGAAATACACTGTGCAGGAATGACTTGTACATAATTTGTTACTAACTGGTACCTTTATTTCTGAATGATGATTTTTTTTTCACCCCATAATGAAATAGTTTAAATGTTAGTTCTTCGGGCTTTGCTTTGGTGAGAAACTTACTGTGGAATTTCCTAATCAGTAACAGACAAATTAGTTGGATACTTTGCATGTATTAAATTATAGTGGTATCCTGGAGGAGACTGGTATGTGGTGTCACAGATACCGTGACTCTGGAGAGAAATGGGAATATCCTATAGTGGATTTCTTTTTATCCTGCCATCTATTATAATAATATCATATTAAGTATATCAAATAGACTCCAGCAGATAACTTTCTAACATATACTGGTTGGACAAAAATAATCTGGAGATATTTTCATTTTTTTTTAGTGATCGTCCTTAACAAGCTTCTGGACCCTTCATAGAATATCACACATACAGTCATGTCAAACCAAGGCCTTCATTATTCAAGTGATTTGTGAAAGTCCTAAATTGAGCCACAGGCAAAGAGCTGTTTTTATGAAAAATGTCAAAGGATTTTTTTTTAACAAGGAGTTTCAGCCTTATGTGAATTTTCTTAACTTCTAATATATTAAATTTTTTGAAAAAAAGAAAGACCTGCTTTTGAATCTAGGTTTGGTTGTCAGGTCTGGCACTGAGTTTAATATAACCTTATTTATGTTATTTGGTGAGCTAATAGCGCTCTAGCATATTGTATAATTGGACATTTCATTTTTCAAGATAAATTAATGTAAGCTTTTCCTCTCCCAGTCTTGTCACTCACATTGTGTTGGCACATGTGTATGTTGTATGCTATATAAAACTCAAACTGAGAAGGAAATACGGAAGGAGACATAAACGTGGAGAGGAAGAGGAATGTAAGCAGAGTAATGTGTTATTCTCCCTGTGGTTGATTTAGGACCCTGAAACTGTAATTGTTCTTTGCTTACTCCCTTACCAGGCTCACCTGTGATCTGTCCTGATGGAATAGAGAAATTTAAGGTGCATTTATTCCACTAATTCAAAGGAATAAAAACTAATTTAGGTTAAGTCTTACCTCCTTAGAGCCACCTCATTATAAGTGTAAGACCCTAATTTAATTTTAGTCTATTTCTTCCCTTTTCCTTCTTTTCTTTTCTTTCCTTTTTAATTATAATATATTTTGAGGCAGGATTTTTTGAGTAATTATAGCAAATGTAATATACACTGGGCAGTTCGACAACAGGAATAAAATATAGCCTGCCTTCTTGTCATCATTAGCCTAAAATGTTTAATTATTCAGATGTTTTAATTAAAAGATTGTCACAGGTTCTTGCAAAGTAGGTGGGGTACAAACCTGGAGAGGAAAGGTAGAGATCACCTACGGCTTGATTTTCGGCTATTGTTATACCTTATGAACCTGGAATTTTCAATCAGCAGATAGAGATTTAATAGTGTTTCTCAAAGCCTTTCTGGAGACTGTCCAATTGTCCAATTACTTGCCATCATCATTCCACCCTGCTCCCCTTCTATTCCACTCAGGAGTGTAAAGGTCAGTATTTTGTGCTAATCTTAACAGTCCCAGAGCCCGATGAAATAAAAAGCATATTGATGTGTTTTTTTTTTTTTTTTGTAAACCAAGTGGGGTTTCCCAGACTAGATTTTCAGCCTCTTAATTGGAATACAGAACAATTGTGAAACTTAAAAAATCTAAAGATTGTTTTAATTTATAGTCACTAACAAACTACAGACTCTACACATATAAAAGATAAATTCAAAACATTCACATTAAGGATGTTTTAGATATTCAACAGAAGTAGTTGCAGTCTAATGAGTTCAGTTTTACAGGCTCATTTACTACCAAATAGCATGTACCACTCTATAGAAAACTAGCCAGAGTGAAAATTTATATTTTTGAGAAATAATTATTTGAATACAGTATACATTTTATATATTGGGGATTCTCATGGCTGCCTTTGCCATACTGTACACTATTCATAATCCTCAAGAGTATTTTAGAACATTAGGCACAATTCCTTTGCCATTGATTAAAATAGCATTATTCATGATAACTGTCTTTAATACTGACATGTTCTGACATTCTAAAATTAAAATATATTCATTTTCTTAAGTAGGTATATCAGAAAACTATGCCTTGAACTAGTTGCTGAATTCACTAATACTATTAGGTTCATCTTAATGCAAAGTATATTCTTGAAGATTTAAACTTAAAAATGCCATAAGCACCAAATAAACATTGGAATTGTTTGAGAGTAATGATATCTTATAAAGATAAGTGTTTGTTAAGGAAAAAAATACTTATTTAAAGACGCAAAGAGTTAATGGTATCAAGCAACTTCCAAAACAACTGTGCTTATTGGTATATCAGGCAAATTCACCACCTTACTAATTTTTTTTTCCATTTCTTAAATGAAAAATTTGATAGTGACAGAACAGAAGACAAAATACTCTACATATAATCTAATTCTCATTCATTTTCACATCAGTCTTATGCCATAACTGGTAGTTGATTAAAATTTAAATTGCATAGCCCAGTATACCCTTTCTACATGTTTTCACCTATTCCTGAAGTTAGAATTGGATCATAGGCTTCTGAACCCACATAAGTAGCATTTTAATGGACATTTTTCAAACAAAACGAAACAGAACACTTCTGACAACCCATTAAATTTATTTATTTATTTAATAAAATTGCATATTATTTATTATGGAATAGCTAAATTAAATGATTTTTATTTGAGGATTAATTTGAAAAGATTGTGGGAAGGGACAATTTTTTCAAAATTTTATTTGACATACATAGTAGAAAAAACTGAGTAGCTATATGGGGAGAATACTAGACTTAGAAACTGTTAGAGTCCCAGTTTTCTAGACATCTAAAAGACTTCTAAATTCTAGTTAGGAGCTGGATGTGGAGACTGTAGAGAGAACTAATTTTCGTCAATGGCAAACCTAAAGTTTCTCAAGTAGCATTTACTCTGTAAGGCCTTTTCTGATTTCCAGCAAACCCAATCATTTCACAGCATCATGCACAAACTTCATTAGAAATACCACATTGAGTCACAATTATTTATTCACTATAAGCATTTGATCACTGTGTCTCCCATCACAGTCACTGGAATACCATAATAAAAATGAATAAATGAATAAATGCTTATTTTATTGATTAGAGTTAAAAATATGAAAATATCATTATATAATATAAAAGGAAAGAAGCATTGAACAAATGTCTGTGGATGAAAATTTGTACCTACCAAATAAACACAGAGATAACTGCAGATTAATAGTCCAAGTGATGAGCAGAATTTGATGAAGAGACTATTTCTCAACTTAAAAAAATTCAAAAGAACTAAAGTCACTTCTTATACACCATGTTTCAGATTAGAAGTATATCTATTTGACTGTACTTGTAAAATGACAACTTTATTGACAGTTATTTGTACTTTTAAGGCAGAAATAATTCTGCATATTTCTAAATGTCAGTGTATTCATAAACTAAAAATATTTCACTCTAGGAAAAAATAGTTCTAAGTAAATGTACGTTCTCCTACTGGTCTGTTTGCTATTGTTTGCAGGAATTTTCCTTATTTCAGCTAAAGACAGGGTCCTTATCCCACAGCCAGGAAAATTCAGGTTTACAGGCAATTTGAATGGTGAGTAAGACAGTGTTTTATTGGGTGAGAGGGAAGAAAAGAGGGAAACAGGGACTCTCTGCAAGGCCATAGTCCCCCCTAGGGCACTTCCTGCTTGGCCGCTTGAATCCCAGGTCTCACGAAGGAAGAGGAGGGGCCAGGCTCCCCCCTGCTGCAAATGGGCTGCAACCTCTCTCTGACTTCACCCTAGTGCACATTCCCAGTGTGGAGACCGGTTGGAGTTTTGCTAGGGACCCCCTCCTACCTGACTGTCTCACTGTTACCTGAGTGATTTTTATCATGGTCTTTAATCATATTCTGCTGTAGTTTTTTATTTATAAAATGTAGCAATCAAAAATGATTTTTATTTTTACTCTTTGAAATATAAATTCTGGTTAATATTCACCAATACTAACATGAAGACTGAAAAGGTTGAAAAACAGAAAAAGTCAAGCAATCTATAGCCCATGTATCCATTTGTGCCAAACAGTAATTTGACAGAGGATGGTAACAATTATTAGCTTCTAAAAAGTTGTTTGATTTAATTCACATAATTATTTGAAATTAACACAGTTGCCTGGATCAGTCTTCAAAATGTTTCATGAGCTTTTTACTGAAACTGACATAACATTTTAAACAAAGGATTAATATGCTTTTCCCCCACCCCAAAGAAGAAAAAATAAAAATGTAAAGAGAATTCGAGCTCAGAAAAATGTGGGAAATATTTATGCCTGCCTAGAAAGGCCAAGAGGTTTACTGTGGCTAGAGTAAAATTTGGCTTTGAACTTTTAGGCCATCAAGACAAAGACTGAGCCTGGTCTTTCTCTTACAGAGGAGCATGAATATGAGAAATCCTACTGGAATAATAGACATCTATAAATAAAAATATGCTAGTCTCTCTTCACTGCCTTCTCATCACTGCTAGTTTTAAGTTCTATGACTTTTATCAGTTTTGCCTTGAGATAGTCCCAACAACTTTATTAACTTTCATTTTATCTTCTCCTAACTGCTGTTTGCAATTGCAGGTATTAAACTGAGTTATCTTATTTTTATTTCTGTTGAATATGGATGTCTTTTCTCTTTGGTAAGACTGTAAGTCCCTTGGAAAGAGGGACTATATCATACACTCATGTATCTCTAAAAATTTTTTACCTTCCAATAGGCATATATTAGGTATGTAATAAACACATCAATTATATTCAAAAACTGTCTTCAGTGATGGCCTTAAATAGGTAGAATTTTGAACTTAACAGTGGGATCTACAGAGTGGACCTTAAATCCACAGTAAGAAGGGTCAGTTTTTCAATATATATCGGTCAATCAGATTTGAATCCTTGCCCCACAATTTACTAGCTATATGTTGTATAATTGCTCTGTGCATCAGTTTCTTATATTCATAAGGAATAAACAATAGTTTCTAATTCATAGGATTATTGTTAATTGTGTTAGCCATATTAATGTGGACTGAATGAAAGAATACATGTAAAATGCTTAGAAAAGTAAACATTCAGTGTCAGTTGTCATTTTGTCTTAAAGTTCTTGGCATTAAGTCATTCTTTCTGAAAATAATTAAATAGACATTCTTTGTGGTAATTACAGAACACAATCAGTTGTCTGAGGTGTGTCCTCAGCAAGCGAAAATATATGACAACAAAATCATGTCTTCATTATAGACAATAATGTTTGTATTCTCAGTAGCAGAAAAGCATGTCATTATCTTAAAACTGTATCAGATTATTAAGTTAAAAACAAGTGCCCCCAAACTACATTTCTATTTTATATTACATAAAATGTTTATCTGTTAGAAGGCTCATCTTCCAATCCCCCTGTGGTACAATGTTCCATATCAAGTTCACACGTTTTATCCCGTACCTGGAACCAAAGGCAAGGGAAAAGTCGATAAGGGCTACAACCATAATTATGTAATTCTTCAGCAAAATGATGAAGTATAACAAGGGTTCATTGTTAAATAGCTGTGTGTAAAAGCCAACTTTGGCTCAAGAAACTCAGGTTTGAAGTTTGTTAAAGAGGAAACTGGCAGAGAAGGTTTGAAGGATGTCCAGTACACTGAACTTAAGCTTCCATCAAATCCAAAGGTGAAAAAATGTTGACATCACAAGGATCTCAAGATTTTCTCCGTATAGCATGTGGAGATGTTCACTGCCTTTCCCTAGACCTCTCTCGTGTAAGTAAAGTCAGACCGGAGCTTGTATGGGGCTTTCAGGCTTTTGCCTCAAGGCAATAATTTTCTTATTTTATAAATGAATATAAAATAAGGCCTCTAGAGAGGACTTTAAAAATCATATTTCCAGCTCCCCACTGTGGTGGCCATTCTACTCCGATAATTGCCTTATGGTAGAACAGAAAAACAGCAGGGTCCAATCTTTTACCACATTTTCATCAGACTGTTTAGGACATTATATTTATGGATCTGTAATTGAAAGCAAATACATCATTGATATAAAACAGCAAGAACAGATGGAGTATATTTGAAATTACAATTCATTTCTCAACATCAGATTTTGACTAGGTGTGTGCGAATTAATATAATTACTCATATAGTTGAAGCAGCAATTCAGAGTTTATAGTTTTGGATTATTTCAGATTTGACCTTGGAAAGATCATGAAGCATTGAGTTTAAATCTCTCCCTATTCAGTTTCTCTCTAGAGAAATAAAAGAAATAGTTCTTGAACTAATTTTTATTCTTAATATTCTCTTTTGGTAGAATTAATTCTATCTATCATCTAATATATATTGCCATCACAAATACCACATTTCTCTTATATCCCAATATCCATATTAGCCTTTACAATGAGACTTGATGGCATAAATGTTATTGTAAATTTTAATAAAGGGTCTTAGTTTTTAAAATTACTTGCAGATGATTTAATAATAAATCACATTCCCTTCACTTACCTTGTTATGTGTAACTTTTGTCTTCTTAGTTTTCTTTCACCACGTCTTCAACCCAGAAACCAGGAGCATCTTTGTTGTTCCCAGTAAGAATTATTCTAGATATTTCAGATAACATTTCTGTATGGTGGTAATGGTGCCAGAATAAGAAGACACAATGATATTAGATCTAGGGTGCTAGAATTTCTTTCTTTGCTGGATTTATTGTTTTAAATTTATAGCCTAGTTTTAATCACAGTTATAGACATGATCATTTTTAGTAGGAGGCATGATTTACAGACTGCTTCACTGGCTCCTGAATGCTGTATGTATTATAAAAGTTTGTTTTTCATGGATGCTACATGTTCAGATCCTGTGATGGAGTAAAATGCTAATATGATTAACCAATGGGATTAATTGTAGCGTTCAGGGAGAGATAGAAGCGATAACTCAGTCATTTAATAAAAAGCTCCTGAGACACTAAAGGAATCGAGAGACTATTTAAGAATCCTTGTGAATAGCTGAGACTGAGGATGATGTTTTCCAATATGTGAGTTTAAAAATAAGTTTCAAAAAATAATTTTATTTTTCCATCTCCAAATAATGAAAAAAGGAAATGACGTTTATTTTATATTTAAACATATATTACATTCTGAGTAGGACAAGTAGAGCCTGCCTTGTTATAAAGGTTATCTCTCAGCCTCCTTTGATGTAGTATGTTTCCAGATCCCATATCATCTGTGTAAATAATACTCCTATAAAGAATATTGCCATTTAAAATCATTCACAGGAAATATTCTGCAGCCCAAGCCATGTCATTGCCAGTTGACAATTTGTGACTGTAGATTGTTGGTGTTTTCCTCCACCTTGTCATTTGCTCTTGGTAACTTTATTGACCATTCAACTGTATAGTTTTTGCTAAAATTGGCAACCTCACCTCTTTTTTTGGCCAGTTGAAGGTTATATTATTGATATTCCCTTATCATATTTTGGCTATAAATTTATAAAAGAGCTAAGATGATTGCAAATGAAAATGCAACATAAATATTTAGGGGTATTTATGTTTTGAATGATTTTTCCTTCAACTGTTTACTTTTTTTTATGAAACCATGTATAAAACTTTAACAAAATATTGGGTGTTTTTTTCCATTAGGCTGCTGCTGGTTTAGGATTCTGGAGGAAATCTCTACACAGTGTAAGATAATTTTTCTGTTTGGAAATAGAAAGGCAAATTCTTTTTCTGCTGTGTTCAACACCCCCCTTCATTAAAATATATAAGCCTCATTATATTGATTATGATCTCACTTTTGAAAATCTGCTGTGGGGGGATAGGAACACATCCTTAGAGTTGAACAAATCTAGATTTGAATCTTCAACTCCACTGTCTGAGACTTGGCAAGTTATTTAATTAGCATGAGCCTTATTTCCCTTTCTTTAAAATAGTGGTTATACTTCTTTCCTAAAATGTTTTAAGAATGAGACGAGGAGGACGTAGTGCCTGATACATCATAAATTCCTGCCTCTCTCCCCACCCCCAGCTTTTCAGCTGTTATATTCATGGGTGCAACTAACAAATAACTAACCCAGCTGCCTTAAGACTGTTTTCAGATATGCTTCTCGAAAGAGTTAATGGGGAATAAAATCTATAAACAACAGTCTGTCAGGAAGCAACCTGAGCATTTTATGTATAGTTGTCTTTTGCTATGCTTTCCTCAGTCAAGAAAAATGTTCAGTCGGGCTTAGAAAACTAGATTCACATTGATATTGGAAAGCACAAGAATTCATAATTTTAGATTAGAATATAATGCAATTGAATGGCTTTGGAAAAGTAAATTCATTTGAGCAATATTTTTCAAAACTTAGGATGCATTAGTATCACCTCACTAATGTGTTAGCAATGCATATTTTGGAATCCATCCCAGCATTTCTGATTCAGTAAATCTAGTATTGACACAAGAGATTTGGAGTCATCTTGACCTCTTAATAGTAACTTTGAGGATAAAATAGGTGGAAAATGTTTAAACAAATAAAAAAAATCATTTGTCAACTTTATCCATCCATGTTGTCTTATTACTGTTTTCCACATTAATCCAGGTAAAGTCAGTATGTGGAAATGATGGAAACTGATTGCTCATATTGACTGACTCAAAACCTGGATTCAGGCTATCATTTCATACAGTCTGAGGCAAAGACTGTCTTGCAGAACCTTTAAGCCACGTGATGAAAGTGTGCTGCATTATAATAACAAGATATGTGGAGATCAATTTCAACAAGATAAATTAGTGGGTAATATTTCAGATTAGAAAACAATTTCAAGGTTCCTTTATCACAAGGCCTCTTGATACATTTGAAATATTATTTGATTTACACAAATTTTCACTCAGCTTTTCGGGAAGACAAATATCAGATAACACAAAATTTATAAATAAGAGCTAGAAGGAAGAAACTTAGTGGTCTAAGTCTTAGATGGCTGAGGCACTCTGCTGCTCTAAGATCACTGTCCTTCATAGAATGAAAAAAGAAAAAAAGAAATGGTTAGCTGGGCATGGTGGCATGTGCCTGTAATCCCAGCTACTAAGGAGGCTGAGGCAGGAGAATTGCCTGAACCCAGGAGGCGGAGGTTGCGGTGAGCCGAGATCGCGCCATTGCACTCCAGCCTTGGTAACAAGAGCGAAACTCTGTCTCAAAAAAAAAAAAAAGAAATGGTGGACTTTTTAAAACATGGATTTTACCCTAAAGAAATTAAATATAAGTTTCCTCTTATATCACAATAAAACTGTAATGGAAGTCATGAGAAACCTTCAAAAAAGACCCACCACCACTTTGTGTGTGTGTGTGTGTGTGTGTGTGTGTGTTTTCTTGGTTTTACCTTTTCAAACATTTCTTTCCCATTAGTGTGTGTGTGTGTTTGCTTGGTTTTACCTTTTCAAACATTTCTTTCCCATTAATATTGATGGCAAAATGTCGTTTGTCCAGGTACCCTACCTTTGGGGTAAATCAGAATTTTGAAAACATTGCTCCTGGGTCCTTTGCACTTGGTACTTCCCTATTTAGGGACAGCTGGGGAAACTAAGAAGGTCATGGGAGGAGTTGGAAGCTCTTTCATATTTGTTGCAAGACCAGTCCATCTGTACCTTGAGACTGTTTGATCTATTAGAAGATTGTTATTTTACCCAGCATTATAAACTGTTAACAGCTGTGCCAATATGAGATGTTATTATATCTGCTCTGGAAATTTTTTGCCTCTTCTCCTGAGGCCAAATACCTGCCAGTCTCAATCTCTCCTTTCTCATGCTTTCATATACCCAAACATCTGCATTTCTTTCATACACCTTAATAACAACAATTCACATCAGGTATTGGTTTTCATGCATTCAGTTTCTTATTTTGAATATTTAGTTTGAGAGATGATATCTGTCTTCCAGTCAGGAACAATCAAAAACAAATATATTTTTACTCTCATATACAATAGTTTTATTTTAGAAAATATTTTTTGCAAAAAGATTTTACTATTTCTAATCAGTCTATGGAGTCAGAGAGATCTGAGTTCAAATTAGGATTGTGTGATTAGTCTTGAGTGTTAAATTTGGAAATGTTTTCTTTCCTTGTAAAAACATAATTTGTATTAAAAATCTGTATGTTTTCCTGGTTTTCTAAAACATTCAGGAGGGACTAGAAATAGAGACTTGACAAAAATGAGTTGATCAGTAAAATATATTATTTGCATGTTAGCATATGTTTTGGGTTCTATACATCAATTTGGATAAATTATATTTTATTTTTCTTGTCAGGTAAAAAGAGAAAATTGTTCTGTTATTATAAGTAAAAAAAAAATTCAAGATTTACGAAATCTTGCCAAAAGAAAAAGAATTTTATATGCCTTCCTAATTAGCTCCGAATTATGTGTTCAGTTGGCAATGTATTGAACATGTGTTCAACCTTGTACTATGGATCTCTTTTATAATTATGCAATCTCAATTTAGAAGGTCTTTGGTTTCTTCCCTTGTGGTTTCTTTCCTTGTGCTTCCTTTATTTCATGTCTGTACCTTGGGGCCTACATGCATCCACATCTTGGGAGCATCTGTTCTGCTCCTTTGCAAACGAACTTGTATGTTAAGAAATATGTGACTTGTTAAACTTTTTGAACAGAGTTTTAATGTGAGAGCCCAGAGTAGCACACAGAAAGAATTCAGTTAGCTAATATTTCACAGATGGAGAAATGGATTTAAAGTAGAGGTTACTAAACAACATGTCAAATATATATATTTTTTCTTCTATCCATTATCTCAGTAAGTTCTCTGGCTCTGATCAGACAAAGAAAGCTTTTAGTACAGTGGAAAAACTAACAGCCTGTAAATTTTGAGAAGAATTTAACTGCACCAATTATTAGCTCTGTGTTTTTGGGCAAGGGCTCAACTTCTTTGAGATTAATGTGTCTTCATGGGGCTGTTATGAAGACAAAATGAGATAATTTATGTAAAATGTGGTTTGTAAACCTCAAAACACTGCATAACTTTATTGTTTGCTGCAGCTGCTGGCTGTTATTGTAACCATGCTGGGTCAAACTCTCCATTTTTCACCTCCAAACATAAGTAAACATTTCAGTTGTTTAAATCGGTGAGGAATAGACAGGAAGGAAGACATAGGAATGGGGGTTAGAAGGAGGAAATGAGAGATTATCGAATGCTGAAAAAGATAGATTAGAAATGAAAGTTTTAGACAAAAACAGATAAAAATTGCAAATATGTGATAAAGATTCCAGACACAGTCTTTCCAGCAGGTTGTCACCATCTTCACCCTTAACCCGGATATGGCAGAATAAAAATGAAGCAAAAATAATAGTAATAATCCAGATTTTTTTTTTCTTGTTAAAGACTCTTTTGGTTGAATTTCAAAGATGAGAAATCTAAAAAATCCTGACTTATTTGGCGTAGCTTAGGGCCTTGGTTGCACAGAGCTGTGGTTTCAAGGTGATTGCTTCTATTTATAGTTGTTCGCTTTAGATGAACTTAAAATATTTCAGAAAGAAAGTGGTTTGCTTCAGGAAATCAAGGGTATACACCTGTAAGACTTTTTGGAACCTTAACATTTTAAAAATCTTTATCAATTTGAATGTGTCTACAAATAGGTTTATTAGCAGATAAACCTATTTATTAATAAATATGTTAATTTGTGCTTGTTTACACAAATTCTTCCTTTTCTAACTTTGCAAGGACAACTTCTAATGAGAAAACTTGCAAATGACATTTTGGTTTACATAATAAATAAAATTTTGCATTTGATTTTAGACTCACAAATAATAGATTTATACCCCTTTATAAATTTGCTAATGATGTAAAGCCAAATCTCAATGTAAAAAATTAATAATACTCTAAGACTAATACATTGCAAGGAAATTAAAAAATGGAAAACATAAAGATTAAAATTAGCCTTAAAATGACAAAAATTTTTGAATAGCAAATAATTTATGCAAAATATGTTACAAAATCTGGGATGCTAAATAGTTGACACAAGTACTGTGTTTGACATTTAGTTTCATTTGAATTAGTAATAGAATTTGCTTCTTCCAACATTTACATCTTTTTCTCTTTCTGACTTTATATATTTTCAACAAAAATTTGCTCCACAGTTTTTAAGTTCATTCTTCTTGAAGTTGCTTTTAAATTTGCTGTGACAAACCTGCATAAAACTAGGCTTTTATAGATAGAATTTCTTTGGAAGAGATAAAAATTTAAAAGTTTGACATTGTTTTCAGTTATTCTTCATTGTTTTGATTGACTCCTGTTAGATTGATGTATTGTCATTCTACTTATGATGGCATGAATATAAAATGACAACATAAAAAGCACTTCTAGTGCAACAGTAATTGAAACTTGCAGTTTTCCATTAAAAAGAAACAAGAATGTGTGCTTACTATTGATAAAGTAACAATATTTTCAAACAATAACCTATGTCAAGCAAACAACACAAACGAGTTGATTATTTCAGCTTCTGAAAACTCAGGTTTTCTTAATGTGATTTGAATTAACTTTATAATACAGTTGTATAATCAATATATGATCTGGGCTGGTGTCAAATAACTCTGAGTTATTT